GGATGACCATACTGCAATCCCTTCTCCATTCTTCTCTTGGGATTTTGGGTACACTCGCACATGCACCTGAAGTGAGTTTTAAGCCACTAGATCTGGGCCTTGAACTGCAGTCAACTATGTGGGAGTCCACAAATGTAACCATTGCACCATCTGCTAGTTCCAATAGTACATATCCTTAGACGTGATTTCCCATGGAGCATTATCTGTCCTGGTTATGAAGTTTTATTTAAAAATAATGAAGTCAGGGCCAGGAAGTAGTGTGGTGGTTAAAGACTCTGGACTTCCATAGGGCTGCCTATGGTTCAAGTCCCAGACTTGGTGACTTGCTTTCTCACCCCACCCCAGATTCTCTCTTGTGAGCATGCATGCCCTATATCAAATTAAAAATCAATAAAAATAATAAATACAATGAAGCAAATAATTCTTTAAAAAATTATGAAGTTGGGGTTCTCTGTTTAAATTTTGATACTCCAGGGCTTGCAGACAGTGTAATGATTATATTGCTGGATTCCCACATGGCTGACTACAGTTTGGGTCCTGGATGTGGCAGCTTGAAACATGTGTGTGCATCTCTCTGTCTCTCTGGTGAGCACATGACCCCTAGAGCAAAAACAAACAAATAAACAAAAACTCTCTAAAAAAATTGGGATACTTTTATATTTGATCATCAGGCCAAGTCTTACCACTGTTTATACATGAATGGTTGTACTAATGGATGAAGGGATGGATTTTTTTTGGAGAGATTTTTGCTATAGGGCGCATACACTCGCTAGACAGACAGAGAGAGACAGAAAGACAGAAAGCGAGAAATCACCTCCCAGGGGGGATGGCCACGCTACAATACCTTCTCTTCCATTCTCTTGGGATCTTGGGCATGTGCACACACGTTCCCAGCGTGAGCTTTAAGCCACCGGGTCCTGGACGCGAACCGTAGTCGACTATGTGGGAGTCCAGCGGCATAGCCATTACGCTAACTGCTGGTCCCAATGGATGGATATTTTGATGAAGAAATAATAAAGAAGTGAATTAAGAAATATATAGTTTTATTATAATGATAATTTTTTCACAAAGCTGTCATTAAATCACAATCTCTGGTTGTGAAGAGAGATCACAAAATGAGGGAAAGGTGGCAGAGGGGGCTTCAGGAGTTTGAAGAGAGTTCTGTCACTAAATATAAATTTCCATCAGTTATTTTATGTGTAGAGTTAAGTATTAGAATTTTCAAGACTCCACTGTCATGTGGCTCATTGATAAGATACTTTCAGTTGTTAATTCAATCAAAAAGTGATTTTTATTTTTGAAGGCAGTGAACTGCATAATCTCATTACTACCATGTAAAAAAATAATGCTATCCTAGGGGGAAAACTCAAAGGTTTGAAAAAGAGAGCTTAGTAGAACAGGAGAATAGAGACTGTCCCATAGATTAGGAAGAGGAAATCAAAACAGAAATTCAGTAGAAATAATAGAGAAAGCGCTTATTGGGAAAAGCATGTTGATAGAAATCCATGGCAAAGACTGATGAGTAAATTTCACATTTATTTTTTTAAAAAGAGAACCCGGTTATAAGTACCCTGACACAAGCAAAACCATCCTGGTATAGAGCTCAGTGTTAATGATGGGGATTGTGGAAAACAGGTGGATAGTGGGATAACAGGATATGCAGGTTTATATTATAGAACGTAAAGAATTGAAATGAACGGAGAAAAAAACATCTTGACCAGGCAAAGGGTCAAGGCATAAAAGAAGCGAAACATAAAACTATGTTTCTGCTTTGTTTTATTTGTATTTTTACCAGGATTTTTAGTAAGTTAAATAGAAAATTGAGACCTAACTCCATACTTGTCATATATATGCATATCTTAGGCTACTTTATATTAAATATATAGTACATGACTGTCCATTCCTATTTTAAAATTCTACTATAGGATGCATGTGCTCACAAAGGAAAGAGAATGAGGGAAAGGAGAAGTGGAGAGAGAGAAAGTGAGATATCATCCCTCCTCCCTCTGCCCTGGAGAGTGGCCATGCTGCTATCTCTCCTCCTTCATTCTCTTCTCAGGATTTTAAGCATGCATGTACATGCATCTGGTGTGTTTTTAAAGCCATTGGGGCCAGGACTTGAACCATGCAGTTGGCCTTGTGGGATCTAGCCACTTTAACCTCCATGCTGCCTGTTGGCCTGTCATTTGATATTTCAATGACAGATATTTTTTTTATGTGATATGTCATGTGACCAGAGCTTAACCGATGGCATGTAGGGGATGCTTTGAAATGGGATTAAGACCCCAGAGACATTGCTCACCAGAGAGAGACAGAGAGACAGAGATAAGGAAAGTAACAAATCACCCTCCAGGAAGGATGGCCACACTGCAATCCCATTTTGTCCATTCTTCTTTCAAGATTTTGGGCATGCATGCACATATGCCTGGCATGGATTTCAAGCCATCAGGTATGGGATTCAAACCATAGTCAGCCATGTGGGAGTCCAGCACCTTAACCACCATGCCACCTGCTGGCCCTATATTTATTTTAAAATACAAAAACTTAGAGGTAAATATTATGGGATTTTGGAATCATGGACTTGAGAATCAGACACATGTGCATTTGGCTTCATTGTATTATACCTATTTGCAAGCAGTATCTATTCTAGAAACTGTTTATGTCTAAAAAGAGAATAAAAATTAAATTGCTTCAAAATCATTATGAAGACTAAATAGGCATATAAAAGATATGGTTGTTAATAAATACATACAAGAGTATCACTGCATAGATGTAGGCGTGCATGCGTACTTGCATGTACTACGTATGCAATCAAGATGTCAGTGGTGATCTAGCTCCAGGGCTAAGATGAGGCTCAGGAGTTATTACAACTCTCTTCTTTTGGGAAAGCTCTTCACTGTTTCTACTAGATCAACACATTTTTAGCAATCTTTTTTTGAACATTCACAATGCTTCAAGCTGCTATCCAATATTAGGATATCTCATCATGTTTCCCAACATGCAGATAGTGAGTACTATTGTCATTGACTAGAATGATGCACACAATTGCATTTGGGAATACAGCAGAAGTACAGTGTGGAGAGAGTAGGGTGACCAGAGGGATAACCAATAAGCTTTTAGAACTTAATTTCACTGCAATTAAAATATGTATTATTGAACCTCTGATTGACCTTCTATAAAAGATAACAGCACCACCTTTCAGAATGATTACAAATATTCAGAGAAGATAATATAAACCGACCTCAGAGAATCACTAGGCATGTTGTGGTTACTAAACACATCCTCATATCTTTGAGTTTTCTATCCTCTGTTTTCTTTGCATTAGTTTTTAGAGATAGTTAATTTTGCTCCTGTAATGCAAGTCCCCACTCTAACAGTCCTTTGCTTCAGAGAGGAAGTTAAACATGCTGGTCTTATTCTGTGGCTTTCATCACATCTGAGAAATCATCCTTGCCACCCTTCCCACACCATTGCTCACTGGACACCAGAAGGCCTCTGTGGAGACATCCTTAGAGAAAAAGTCAACAGCTTATTGACCAAATGCAGTAGCTTTGCAATTTTGTCCTTGAATTTATTGTTAGCAAATGAATTCTGCTTTGCTTAAGAAAAGCAACAGTCTAGCAGATAACTTTTTTTTTTCTTTGCACATTTTTAAGAATCATTTTTGGAAGTGCTGTCTTCCTGAAAGATGAGTTCTGCCAGTGGCTTTTGAGGATAAAACATCGGAGGCTTTAAGCTGCAAGTGAGAGGCCATTTGTAAGAGCATCACCTCCAGGGCTTAAATGGAATTCAGAATGTCAGCTCATTTCTACTCCTTCTTTTTTTTGGAAAAAGGTTGAGTCAGCCTTCAGAAATCAAGGCACAAATAAATACAAACTCCCAAGGAGGCATCCACTTAAAGCTCCAAGGTATTTACTTGGTCCTGGAGCCTGAATCTGTATCTCAAGCCCTTTCAAGGACAACTGGAGCTTCCCCTGCTGGAGGTGCTGTCTGATTTTACTTTGCTGGAAGGCATCCTCTTATCATTATTTTAATGCCCTGGCTGCCTGGTAACAGCTGTGGATTGATTGTTGCAGCCTTTGATCCACACATTTGCATTTGTTTGGAGTCTTGGAAGACCTGTATTCATCGGTCATTTTTTCTGAAAGGGTTTACAAATCCTCATGTAACCCAGGTGCATAAAGCCCAGGCAGGAGTTTTGGGTGCTGTGTTGACAACTTTCACATACTCAGCTCAGTTTGGTTTCTGAGAAACACAAACAAGCTGGGAAGTAATAAATGGTAGTTATGACATCCACATTCTTATTCTTTTCATGTCTTGTATTTATAATGACATTTATCAAAGCATCTTACTTATACATTCATGGACAGTCCTACTCTGTAGCATAGCTCTCCTTATCTTTTTATTTTTCCTTCTTTTTAAATACATTGCTAGTTCACATGTTTCTTTCTAGATGGACAAATACTTTTCAATTTTTTTCTCAGAGGAAACAAAGGCAAAGCAAACATTCTTTTAACTGTATTATATATCTCCTTTATATCCCCATAAAATGCAGGTGCTAAGATGCTCTTTCATCCCAACACCTGCATTTTATGATTCCTATGATATAATATATTTTATTTGTGACTCCTTAAAGTGGATTGAAATGCAAACAAAAGAAATGAGATTCATTTAAAATGAAAGGCAGGATTGGCAATATGTTTATCTAGGCTAATATTTTTAAATACCTATCAACCCAGAAAAGATTAATATATACTCTGAAAGACAAATTTATAGACAATCTTATCTGCCATTTATTTGCCACTTATTCCTTTTATTATTGTTTGGAATAGAAAAGGTTTAAGGGATTTATAAATTGACCTTTCAAATTTAGTAATTATTATAATATTCAAATCTGAGAAATAGCTACTGGAAGAAAAAACTATAGAAGCTACATTTTCTATAACTCAGGCCTGAAGTAATTAATTACCCAATCAAGATGATAAAAAGAAAATGCTTACTTGGAGTTGCTTGTAATTTTGGCATAATGGTAGAATCATAAGTGAAGCTTCATAATGAGTTTTCTTTCCTTTTTGCTGTAGGAGATAAAATCAAGAACCAAGGTCTTAGAGCAGATGCAGTTTATAGTCTAGCCTTAGGGCACAGAAAAATGTCAAGGGGGAAAATACATAAAAAGAGAGGAGTATTCTATCAAACAATAGGTTTGCTGAAAACTAAGCTTTTGACTAAATTACAAGACTTCAGGGAATATTATCCCTTTCACTCATGCTTCCTTCAGGGTAATTCAGAACCTAATATAGGCTGAAGAATGGTGATAACTGGCCAGGATTCAACTTTAAACACAATGACTTTATTTTAGTAATTATAGAAGTGAAAGGAGAAACCTTGTAATGTAACACGTTGCTGAACTTGGCATGGCAAAGCATCCTCTCCTGCAGCATTTGCTTGTAAAGTTATTTGTTTTAAAAATATCTTATGAGAAAATGGGTCCAGAAATAGAAGTTCTACATTTTGATTTAGGTTTCAGTCTTATCTTGGAGGTGTTGTGCCTTTAAGCAGCATACTATCACTAAAGCTCAGTGAACCTATCTGGAAGATGGGCGTGAAAGATAAAGCTACCTTTTAAGCTCCTTTGGTGAATACAGTGTCAAAGCCCTTCAAGTAGCACCACTGCTAGGTTCTGAAATGGCTGAAAAGTTATACTGGATAATTTTTGTTTTTTAGAAGAAATAAATAAATAAACATTCATTCCTTAACAGGTAAGGGGGCCAGGTCAGGGTGGTAGCAGTTTCTACAACTCACAGTCTGTGTACATTCCAACAACACTTTGCCTACTATTGACTCCCTTAATCTCCCTTTTTTTTGCCATCACTTTCTCCTACGTGTCTGGCATCAAGTCTTTGGGTAAAAAAATATATTTATCTCATGAGAAAGACACAGAGATATAGGCACATCCTCACTAGGGTCCCCATGCCATGAGCCATCCATGGTCCCAGCTAGCAAGGATCAGGAGTGCACACGTGTTATGTACACTAGGAGGTCTTAGGATGTGAACCCAGGATCCTTCCATGAACATTCAGTTATGCTTCCACTATGCCACCGTTTGGTCTCATGGATAGAATTTTATCTAGGGCTACACGTTCTGCTGTGTGGGGTAACTACACACGAATAAGTCTTTTCTTCTCTTTCTTGCTTATGTAGATCACTTGTCTGATCCCTGGAGGAAAGAGGAAGGAATAAGGGTGATGGAAGAAACGTAATACTTCAAATCACTGGTAAGAGTAGGACAGAACAACTGAGGAGAGAAAGGTATCCTGCCTTGTTTTCAGTCTGTGCCCCGTTGCTTAGGTGCTATTTGAATTTATAAATGTTACTTCACTCTCAATGACTCAGTTTCTTCATCTGGAAAATGGGTGCTATAGCAACAAGGCTGTCAGGAGCTTTTAAATGAGTTCATATTCATCAAGCACTCAGCATGGTATCTGTGTTATTAAAAAGATGTGAAGATAAGTAAAGCTGGATTATCTTTATTATGCATGCTGGTGGCCCCTGTTTAAATGTCTCTTGAACTTATAAATTACTAAATGTGTTTTCCTAATCTGTCATTTTAAAATTTATTTTATTGCTGCCAGCTTTATTACAATGAGCGCAGAAATGACTGATATCATTCTGTCCGTTTAATAACCCAATTAAAAAGAAAAAAGGGCAATAAGAACAAATACACTGTCCTTCCATGTTTCAGCCATTAAGGGAATGACCATTGAAATGAAACTAGTTGCTCCTAGATTGACTGCAGGGACATATTTGAGCCCCTTAGTTATAGACACACAGCCAAAGTTTCACAGAGATGGACAAGAGCCACCTGCTTAGCCTGGGCATATCTCTATGATGGTGGCCAACACAGAACCAAGAGGAAATCCACACAGGAATTTAGGAGCCGCAGGGGAAGGAACCAGCCATTTCAGGGCAGGAAGCCCCGGGGAGGATGCAAAATATCAGCTGTTAAATTACGAGGATCCATTTTTATTGTTTGTTTTCAAACAAAGTGTTCTGGCCCTCATCCACTCCAAGCTGGAAATGAAACTGATATTTTCAATCTTTATATTTTGTCTTCCTTTAAAGAATAGTATAAATTAAACTATCTGGGGCTAGCCCCATGGCCTAATGGTTAAGGGGCCTGGATTCCACATGGCCAACTGCTTTTCAAATCTCAACCTTGCAGATTGAGAAACATGCCAGCCATGTGTCATGTCTGCCAGAACCTCAGCAAGAAATGGAGGAGTTTGCAGCATGACCATACCCCATTGGAGATGCTTTTGCCCTCTTCCTCTATATCTCTCTCTGATAAGCACATGTACCCTCTGGCAATTTAAAAAAATAAACTTTATGCATATTTTCTTGATTTGTTTTTTTTTTCCATCTGATTTTAAATAAAATGTGTGTTTCACCTATAGAATTATGGAAAAAGGAGAGCTCCATCTAATTCTGAAAAAGGATAGTTTAAGACAAAAATAATGTGACAAAGCAGACTAAGAAAGAACATGTGTCTTGGCTCTAGGGAGAAATCCATCTGAAATTCCCTCTGGGATCCTGGCACAGCCCCAATGGGGCACGCTCCTCCTCCGGGGCTGCATGGGCTTGCCTGCCAGAGTAGAGCATATTGCGCTAATGTGAGAGGTAGGGGAAGAGCCTCATGCAAAGCTGCCAGTGATTATCCCTGATGTTCAGTAGGCACTTAAAAATATTTATTCCTTTCTCTTCATTACCATAAAATGCAGGCTGAATATGTGAATAAGTAACAGTGGCTAAGAAAAGCTTAATAATTGCTTGTTCAAAGTAGCTGCTAATGCCGGGACCAGCAGTTAGCATATTGGCTGTGTCGCTGGACTCCCATGTAGTCGACCACAGTTTGAGTCCTGGACCCAGTGGCTTAAACTCATGCCGGGTGCATGTGCGTGCGTGCCCAAGATCTCAAGAGTAGAATGGAGGAGAAGGGACTGAGGCGTGTCCATCCCCCCTGGAGGGTGATTTCTTGCTTTCTGTCTCTCTCTCTGTCTTTCTGTCAAGTGCATGCACCCTATAGCGAAAATGTCTCAAAAAATTATATATATAAAGGAAGCTGTTAATGCCGTGGTGCAAATATCTTTAACAATTTCATGTGATGATGGGTGGACAGTCATGTCACCCCTCCCAATACTCTTTACAAAAATTTTTCTTTAATAATATTAAGAATAGAATTTCTAAGTGAATGAACTATCATGTTTCAAACTTTCCTTGTTGATGCACCTGAACTATATTAAAGTTTTTTTTTCTTTTAATCTCTGTACTTTCATTATTTCATAAGCCCCAAAGAGCATTAAGCTATGATATTTAAACGGAATCACACCACCTTTAGAAATACTCTATTTTTATATTTGCAGATTTAATTAAGGCTGAGCGAGTAGAAAAATCTGCTTCAAAACCACCAATTGACTAAAAAATGAGAAGACACACAAAGGGAGATACTTGTATTCTGTGATCAAAATCATGGAGAACCTGCCGAAGTGGGAGATGTGTAATGCCTCTCAGGATGCACACTGTTCTACTTAGTGGATTATCAAGCATTTATTATTTTAAAAAGTCAAAAACACCTTGACTTTAAGCAATACCTTCTCTCAGGAGTTGGAGGTTAAGAGGAGCACAGGGCAGTGAGTGAGATCAGTACAACTGACTGCTACCGACACCCTCTTGAGGACTCGGGGAGTAATTCTGAACTCTGTCCTCAAATGATTTTCTTCACTTCTACATAATCCCATACTCAGATGGGGACCATGTCTTATCAGTTCTATCTCCC